CCCCACCCAAGGGAGGGTGGAGCTGAGCAGGGAGAGAAGAGGCTGCAGAGGAGTCTGAGGAAGGAAGGAAGCAGGATGGAGAGCCAGAAGGAGACCTGGAGGAGGCGCGTGGAGCCTAGAGACACGTGAAGAAACTGCGCTTGTCTTTTGGTCGTGGACTGGGTAACACAGATGTGGGTGAGACCCGTGGGGAGGTGACAGTGGCAGCTTTTATCTTGATTGTGATTTTGCTCTTTTTCTTCCGGGCTTGTCTGGTTGTTTCTGACCCTTTTCTGTGGGTCCCCCTGGGAAGATGCTTTAGACTTGTGGCAGGCTTTGGGGCCTTGCTCTGGACCAATCCCATTTGGATGGAGTTTTACCCACGAGGGGACGGGTAACTTTGGGTGCTTGATTTAGAAACTAGATTCTTTGCCTTTCCTGTATTGTTTCCTAGTTGTATTAAAGTTCCTTCCCATTAAAGTCTCATGTTTTGTGTTGATGCGGCGGATGGCAGAACCCTATATAGAATAGGCAGGTTTGCGGGGTTTGGGCTGCCCCTCTCCCTGCCCTGTAACACTAGGAGCACCTTTCCCCCAAAAGAAGAATCCCGAGGAATTGAACTAAGGCTCATTGTCATCACCCACGTTTTTCCATTTCAATATTGTAGTAAAGTTATCTCTCTGAATCATATAATAAAAAAGACTTGAGTGGCATGGCAAAGTGGAAGGAGGAATGGGGAGGATGGAAATCTATGCCAGGATGACTACCTGTGGGAGTGGTTCTCTTAAAGATTAGAAAAAACTGTTCTGGAGAAGGGAAGAGACTAAGGTTTATGGAGCATCTATGTGATGCTTTCCATATGTTATAAATCCCCACGGTGGCTCCAAAAGGGTGGTGTTCATATCCCCAGGTGCAGTTATGAGGAATTATGATGAATTACTAGTCATAGTTTGTTGGACTCCAGAGACTTTTTTTTTATGCCATACTTGAATGTCCGTGATACAGGCATCTAGTAATGTTGGTGAGAGGCAGGTAGAACCACTTGTGTTCATTGAAGTGCTTGATCAGTGCCTGGCGAACCTTAGTTCTCAAAACGTTTGGCTTTTTTCCTATCCATTCTCCTATGTAACACTAAACTGTAAAACAGAGGACCATTTTAGCCATTTCTTTATATAAAGATGTTTCATAAATAAGGTTGTGATAGGTTTTGGGGAAAAATTTAAAAGGCTTTGCCCATTACAGAACAGTGAGTCTTATTTTGACGTCCTTTCTTTTTTTTTTTTTTTTAAAGATTTATTTATTCATGCGTACAAGAACTGGGGTACAGGCCAGAGATGCGGGAGGATGAGAGGATTCACCAGAGACACAGTGGGGAGCAGAACAGGCAGACTGAGGAAATACACTGAGGAAATACACTGAGCAGCGAGTGAGACAGGAGAGGTCTGCCCCACCATGTGGGGATCTCCCTAGCCGGCTGGGATCGAATCCATGCTGCAGAGGCTGCTTGCGGAGAGCTTCACAGCAGGGTGCTGAATGAACCGCCTGCGCCACCAGGGGAGGCCCTTGACATCCTTTCTTTGCCAGAAATGTTAAAGTGAAATAACCAAAAAGTTGTAACTGAGTGTCATGCATTTTAAAATATTTTCTGTGGGCCAGAATATAACAATACACACAAAATAGAGCAAGTGCAGAGCTAGACCCAGCCGGGCTCCGGGACCTTTCAGCTCTTGATATCAGCAACTCAGTGTTAGAATAAGGAAAGAAATCAGAAACAAGCTCAGTGGTGAGGGCCAGACACACAACACAGCCTGCTGGCCCTGGCCTGTACAAAAGCAAAGATGGACCATGTTCCGTCAGAAAGAAGTAAGACATTTCAACCAACATTGTTGTAATTATAGTGTAATTAAACTAGATTATACAGTGTAAATAAACTTGCTTCCAAAATAGTAATAATAAGATTTGCCCTACCAGCTATTAAAACATTATAAAAGTTGTATTGAAAACCATGGTGCTGGGTACAAAAGTAGTTAATGAACAGAATCGAAAATCCAGATGCAAAATTTAGTCTCTGTTAAAGATGAATGGAGGTGGGCGCACTTCACACATAGTTGTTGGGACTAATGGATAGTCTTAAAGAAAGATAGATAGACCCCTTCATGCCACACACCAGGACAGATCCCTAATGGATTGCATTGAATTGCTAGATACTTAAAAGTAGAACCATACAGTTTTTGAATTTAAAAAATGGATAAATAACTTCTGTCACCTGGGAGTGGAGACAGAAGCTCAAATTTTGTAAAAGATCAGCAACTTTGACTACTTAAATTCTTGTATGGGGAAACAACTAAAGAGAAACGGTAAATTATTTGTAACTTTCACATGACAAAGTTGTTCTATCCCTAATGTATAAAGATTACTGAAATAAAGACCAATAACCCTGTAGGAAGATATATAAGCACAGTTCACATAAAAATCCAGGTGATTTGGTCCGACTTCTACAGTAAGACATTGCAAAGTAATCACACTGTGATACCATTCTCATCTTTTACATTGGAAAGAATTCAGAAGTTTGGCAAGGTTATGAAGGAAAAAACAGACACTATTGCACATTGCTGGTAGGGATACAGCAAAGCAAAACCCTTATGTTTGTATGAGAGGTGGAGATTTGTAATTTACGTTTGTAACCATTAACTCAGCAGTCTCCCTTTAAAGAATCTACTGTACAGTAGCAAAAATATAAAATAATGTATGAATACTTTTTGGTAATCATGAGAACATAACAGGAAATTGAATGGTATACTAATCAAAGTAAATGGGGGGAACCTTTATATGCTTATTTGGCGTGATTTTGACTTTATTTGTAGAGAAAACTGGCAAAGTGGAGTAAAATAATCATAGTATCCTACCATATAGTTAAGAGGTCTATGTGTGTTTGCTTAGATTACCTGTTTGGGGTGGAGGGATGGTGGATGGAAAGTAAAACGTGTTTCTAAACTTCAAAAGCAAATTGTCACAAGTGACTGCATGTTGAGCTGATGGCCATATCACAAACAGAAATTATGTCAGGTGGCTTTTAACCACAGTGATTTATTTGATTACACACATCTAGTGAAATATCCTCAATAATTCTTAAGCTAAATGGAAGTCACGATAGAAATATCAAATATTTGGAATAGAACAATCCCGAATCACAGTATCTCAAAATGTATAACATTCAGGAAAAACAGCAGAGATGAATTAATTGACTAAGTTCTCCAAGAAAAACTTGAACTAAATATATTCAGCTCAGCGTTAGAAAAAGAAATATAGAAAAATTGGAGAGGAAAAGCAGGGATTAAAAAAACAGGACAACATTAATAGTGTCATGTTAATGAGTCACTTTGTAGGTTGAGTTGAATTAAGGCATTCTAATCTTCCTTTTAATATCCTTGGTTCTTTATTGATATGATGCTGGCTCATGGTTAACCTAAGGAGAAAATTGTAGGTTTCTATGTTGATTCCTATCTTAAATAGTCCATTTCCTGCTTTAGTGAATAAATAATTTACCTAGAAGTGTTGTGGTTTTTCAGCACTAACCAGATATTGTATAATTGTTCCTGAGGATATTTTCATAATTTGGGTACTCAGCTCTTAAAAAAAAAAAAAAAGATACAAATTTATAAATAAAAAATTTGACTCCACGAAATGGAGAAGTCCCACCACAGAGCCTTGTTGGAAGATGGACCAGGGAGATCTGCTTGGTCTCCAAGAAGAGTCTACTTTTAACAGTAGGTGTTTACCAAGAGGCCTCTTGTGGACTCGTCCCCATAGAGCTCCTGTGTGGCTAGGAGACCACTAAGTCGCAGGAGTTGCCTGTGAATGTTATTTGGTATTTTGGTAGTGACGTTCATGAGAGAAATTGGTTTGTAATTTTCTTTGAATGTCCTTGTAAGATGTTGGGGGTGATAAAAGATGTAAGGGTGTAAGATGTTGCCTGATAAAAGCATGGCAAAGTATTCTTGCTTTGCTGTCTTCTGGAAGAGGTTGTACAAAATGCCATTATTTCTTCCCTGAATGTCTGTGAAGCCTTTTGGGCCCGAGGCTTTCTTCAGTCAGTTTCTATTGAATACGTGGTAAATACAGTGACCTGAAATCTCACCTTAAAAAGTTGAATATGTGTCTGAAAACAGTGAGCTGTCATTCTTATTTACATTTTCACACAAAAAATTTCCCATCTGCACATTGAGGTTTCCGCAACGTAAAGTTTGACCAATGTTATATCACTGACAAAAATTCATTAGTATAACACTCCTGGCCATTTCTGGTTGTCAGGTAGTTTATTATTGACTACCATCCATGTAGGCTAATGATGTCATGACCTACATCAGCTCATTGACATATACTTGCTTTATTAGAAGTGTGTGTACACACACACACACACACACACAGATATATTTTTTACTTTTTTAAGAATATACTAAATTTTTTTGCAGGCTTTCTTGCTCAGAATGGGTTGCCTTGATTATTTTGGGAGATTTAATTTTAACTGAATATATTTATATATTGTAATAAGCAACGAGTTCTCCTTGTTGAAACTTGAAAACTTACAAGTGTCTCTTTTTCAGCTCAGACTTGTAGTAACCCGGTTTCCCAGTTTCAGAGCAACCCATAATAGTTGTTTCTTAGCTGTCTTTTAGTTCATATTCTCCAGATTTGCAGTATTTATATTCTTCCACTACCACCTCCCCTTTTTTCTGTTCTGTACTCTCTTTTGCTTTGTCTCAGGCTGTCCCATGTCACTGTGTGTTAGAGAGGCCCACGGCTTGTAAACACTGCATGGCTGCCTCACATCTTGTAACGAGTGATGCCAGCAAACTACAATAACAACAAACTGTAACTGTTGTACTACTGATGGATTTTTAGGTTATTTCCAGACTTTTATGAAAAAGGTTGTGTTGTGTTGTATAGCCCCATTGCTTATGAATATCTAAGTCCTCCTTTTCCTTTACTAGTTTTTTAGGAAATCTATTGTTTCATTTCAGCTATGAACCAGAGAATCAGTCAGAGTGCTCCAGTGAAGCAGCCACCCCCACTAGCCCCCCAGAGCCCACAGGGAAGCATCATGGGTGGCGGCAGCTCCAACCAGCAGCAACAGATGCGGCTACAGCAGCTGCAGATGGAGAAAGAGAGGCTGCGACTGAAGCAACAAGAACTGCTGCGGCAGGTGAGGCCACAGGTTAGAAACCAGCCTTCCACTTTTTGGGGTTTGTTTTCCTATGTGAAGTTGGGCATACTTCAGCATTTATTGGTTACAGAGGGATGCTATTTCTGTCAAACTAGAGAGACACAGAAGTGTTCTATCTCTGCCCTGGCCTCACTAGTTTCTTGACTGGCCTTTGATCACGCAGCCTGTAGCTCATAAACCTGATCACATAGAGCTGTTTGGACCTGATCATGGAGGTCAGCAAGCTTCAATGGAAGCATGGTGCTTCTGCAGTCAAGTCGTGTACTTCTGGACTCCACTGAGGGGGAAACAATGGGCTTCATTTGGGGAAGAACATCTTTTACTTTAAACCAGTTATTTAGGTGAGTGAACCCATATGATATTTCACAAATGACATAGATTTCAGCATTGCTGAATCTAAGATGTCTCTTAAAACATATTACAAGTAATCCCAAGTTGAGTAGATTCCAGAATGATCTCGTGGACTTTTTTCCATGTTAGGAATGGTCGCTCCTGATGTTAGAGAGCTTGACTCTTCCAACCATTTCCATCAGTTTTCTTTCAGAAAGTATTGTTGGTCTTTATGTTCCCTAAGAGTAGATAATCCATCATCTTGAAATCCATGTCTACTTTAATTTGTTTCTGAGTAGTAAAATCTAAATTCAGATATTGGGGATGTGATCCTATCATTTAAGCAGTTTATTTTAAAATTTTATATGATTTTTTAATATAGATAATTATGTGCAATTTTGAAAGTATACAAAGGTGTCAATGATAAAGTCTCCTTTTCCATTTCTCTAATTCTGTTTTCTGGGTGGAAACAATATCAGTTTCTTGTGTGGTTCTTCCCTCCCCCCAACCCCCAGATATTCTCTTTACAGACATAAAATACTTGAACCTGTGGTACTTTCCCCCACCTAAATCATAACATCGTGTAGATGAAAAAATACTTTTACTCTACATTTCTAGTCCAAGATGATGGCACCTTAACAAGGTACTTTAATTTGTAAGGGCTGATTTTTAAAAATGTGAGTTGAATGTTAATGAAAATACATGAACTAAATACTGTCAGTGAACTCCTACTTGAGATTTGAGGAACTGGTACTATGGTATCCTAAAATCACCTTTAAATTGTGCTGTCAGTAATCTGCCAGTGTAATTCTAGTGTGTTTGGCACTAAAAGTGAGTCCTGATTGGCATCAGAGTTTGTGCCAGCATGTGATGTCTACAAGTAGCCTTGAAAAAAATTCTTCTTTGTCTGCTGTTAAGAAGGTGGAGGGAAGAAGCATATTAATACAGTTTACTGTACCTGGAACTGATATGTTTTTTGTATAAATAAAACTATAATTAGAACAAGGTAGCCCCATTTGAAGATGTAGTCATATGGCCATTGGGAGAAATGAAACAGTGGGAGAATGTGCCCACTTAGGAAGCCTGCGTTCATCAGATGCTTTTCATTTTGTTACTGAGTACTCAATAATCTAAGTAAATGCATGTTCCAGTTTCTCATGAATGAAGACTCTCAAAAGCAAGACACTGTACTAAGAAAAAGTTGTTTAATTGCTAATGTCATAGTGTTACTGTTTTTAAGGTAATTATTAAGGTCTAGAAATGGGCCATTCATCATTTTGTAGTATGCCATACATATTTGGCATGTGTATCAAACTATATGCCTAGTTGATTGGTGGTTTGTTTGTTTGTTTCTTTTGGTGGGAAAAATATTGCTACTTTAAAACTCTTCCTTCAAAGAATTTTTCTAAATCTTACTCTCACTCTTAAATGCTGGGTGATGGGTCCTGGACAGAATAGCTTCACTTCCTTTGAAGGTAACTTCTTTGTTTCTTCTTACTACCTTACTATGTCGCCTTTTCTTATGTTGAAGTGACAGACCTGTGCTGTTATCATACTAATAGTCTGTTTTTTAGGATGTTTTTGCTTCTTATCAATCAGTTTAAACTCAGTGTGTCTTTCAAGTCTTCTGACTTTCTGTGAACTTCCATTGACAGTTTCTTTTATCATGGAAATAGCAAATTCTAATTTTCCTGCTTCTCTAATACTCAGAAGCAAAGAACCTACCTGACCAATATAAAATCTTACTTGAGTCCCGACACTTAAGAGTTTTGCTGTCCTGTCTTCGATGCTGTTCAACGTTTCTGAGGTTTCAGTTTGTTTTGTGGTGATTCCATTGGCTCCTGTCTTCCTCAGTCTGCTGCTTCTTGGGCTAGCTTGGGAATTCTGTGCTATGGTGATATGTCTGGATGCAATTTATAAGTCAGCCTACACAGCCAAACTATGTGGCTTAAAGTAATTTTTATCCGTCTTATTTTTTACTCTTAGGCAATGCGGAATATCAATCCCAGCACAGCAAATTCTCCAAAATGTCAGGTAGGCTCTCATCTGATGTTTTAGAATTAAAAAAAAAAAAAAAAAAAATGCCCATTAGGAAAGAGAAACTTGTCCTCACTGACTATTAGGCCAGAGCATAACTTTGAGCCACCATCCATCCTTAAGTTAGCATAGCTGTTCCCAGCAGGTACACCATCTGCTCCCTCCTGCTCCTCCCAGGGAGCACCTAGCATTCATTTTTATTCTGTGGAGCTCTTTTCTAGTCTATATTTGAAATGTGTTACATCTCAATTGCCATCCTGTCAGCCTTGAGGTATGCCTAATTTCTCTTTGTATAGCTTTAAATAGTATTTATAATGGTTTATAGGAATTAGTAATTTGATCAAGAACAAAGGTAACACAGTTTTTTTAATTTGTAGGCTTCTTAGAATCATAATGATATGATTCTAATCATAATCATAGTCATATGATTCTTTTTAAGAATCATGATGATACTATTAGACAAGGAAAACTGTTTTCTAGTGGACTTTCTAGGGGAAAACTTCAAAAGTTTCAGCAGAGAGAATGATCTGCCTGGGTACTGATTTGGGTTTCTTTGTGGCTTTTGTAACATTCTCCTGTTTGAACCCCACGGGATGAACTGGTTGGGAAGATATCTTCCTCAGATGGAAAATTGTGCCGTTTTTTCCTTCACACACATGGACTTACCTGATTCCTGGGAAGAATCTCATTCTTGAAACCAAAGAGATTCTCTGTGTTTGGGATCTCCAAGATTTGAGAGAATTTGGAACTTTTCTCATGTGGGTGTAAGCAGCCATGGAATATCTTATATTTGGCATAGCTCTTTTGTCCTTGACTCAGTCAGCATCTTGTGTTTGCATCAGCTGTAGAAGGAAATTGATAAAGTTCCATTCCTTGTGTATACTATTCACTTGTCCATTGGAGGACCATGCTGATAAAGTCAGATAGTCCTCATAGAGACCACTTACTTTGTGAGAGAAAAAGCTCAATTTTTTATCTGTCTCATAAATCAAGTAATTAAATAAGGAATAACTCACAAAAGCCACCATTACTGATGTAGAGCACAAACATTCTTAACATCAGAACCATAACCATACTGACCTAGAAGAGCACTATAGCATTGTACTTTATAAAGTAAGGGTATTTCTTTGTCTTTTCTCTGAAACCTGCCTGAAAGGAGGTTTGTAAGTCCTGATAAGTGAAGTGGAAACTAATACAGGAGCAGAAATTAACTCAAATGAGATTTGTCTTCAAGTAAAAAGTCCTCCATGTCAAAAGTGTTTTCCAATTTTTTTTTCCTACTAAGGACTTTAATCTGTTAAATATGTCTTTAATGCTTGAGTGTGGGTATAAATAGTTGCTGTTAATAAAATTATTTTGTAGTGAAACTTTAGGAAAGGTGAGGCATAAAAATAATGCAAATTATTATGTATATATGGTATTACAATTACAGTACCAATTACTTAGATTTATTTTTTTTTAAAGATTTATTTATTTTTTTAATACAAGAACTGGGGTACAGGCCAGAGGCGCTGGAGGGTGGGAGGATTCACTGGAGACAGCGGGGAACAGAACAGGCAGACTGACCCAAAGTACACCGCTGAGATGAGCAATAGGTGAGACAGGAGAGGTCTGTCCCACCATGTGGGTTTGTCCCTGGCCAGCCAGGAATTGAACTGGCACTGCAGAGGCTGCGGACTGCTTCACAGCACTGCGGTCAACTCACTGCCCCACCTGGGAGGCCCATGATTACTTAGATTTATTTAAGACAGGGCAAGAAGGTTGAAATATGTATTTTAAAGTCCACTTTGTGTGTACAAGAAAAGAAAATACTGGTTTATTATTTAGTCAGCAGTATATTGACCAGGTACACTTATGAAAATGTCAGTAAATATGTGAAATTCATGGAGTTTATGAAATTCATGGAGTTTCATGAAATTCAGTGGTGTTTGTATCAGGCAAGCATTCGTATATGTTTTTCTTACCTTAATGTTTCCACATGGCCTTGAGGTATAGATGTCAGGAAAATTTTCATTAAGAAGGCCTGTACCTTAAGTGAAAATGACTTTAAATAGGGTTACCAGCATAATCAGGAAAGCCAGAAAAGAACCTTCCAGTCTCAGAGCACAGAATGTATAGAGTAATAGTGGAGAAAAAGGGGAACGATTCATTTTTTGACTGCCCAGCACTGGTTTGAAGTTGGTTTTTTTTCCTTAAAGCTTTTCTAATAGAAATTAGTACAAGATGACTCTAACAAGCAATATGAGATCAGTGTCATTATTTAATAATTACATACCTCATATGTTTTGGGATGTGGGAAGGTACAAAACTTCCAAATGTTTACAAATTACTCTTTCACAAGATGTCTTGACATACTTCCAAATAGAATTTCTGTGTTTGTATGTCCGGGTGAGGTTAATGAAATACCCAGGATGTGACTTGAATGATGCTGAAATGCAAAATCCTGAAAAATTAAGACAACTTTAAATATGTTAGTACATCTTCATAGTTAAAGATGAAAATTATCACCTTAATTTGTTACCAGAATTGTTTATTTACAGAATTTTGGAAAGAAATTGTCCTTGTGAGCTTCAATTTTCTAATTTTATTTTGATTCACTGTTTTTATGTTTCAAAAGCAGTTTCTGTTAGAACTTTTTGAGACTATAAGCATCATCTTTGCTTTGTGAGATTGAGCATGAATGCTCATATTTTTATTTATATTTCTTTCTAATACAGTAATTGCTCCTTTTTAAATTGAAGACATGTCCAGCATGTGAAATGTTTTAACTTTCTCTTAAGCTTTGTGGTTCTTACTACCTGTAAATCCCTAATACTTAATGAAATAGCAAGTATAAACTCTGCAGCCTGGATGGTCAGGGTCCAGTCAGTAGCTTCTCTTGATTCTGTTGACCTTCAGATGAGTATATTCCTCTGTCTTTGGAGCCCTGGCTCTGTTCATGAGCTTTTTTCCTATAGTGAATGCCTGCTTTTCCTCTTCCCTCTTACTGATCAAGAGTCTCCATTTCCTTCATAAGACACCCTCATCAGAAATCTTGAAACCACCCAGAAAATCTTGATTCTTGAGCAAATAATTGCTTTAATCTTTATAGAAATTAGAATTACAAATATTTTGAAACTAAAAAATATTGTATAGTTGCTCTTCCTTAAGAGTAGTATTAAGTTCTTATCATGGTCAGTTACTGGTTTAATGAATTTGATAAAACCACAGTGTTGATGTTGCAGAGTTTCTTTGATAGCATTGGTCCACAATGGTGAAGATGTTTTAGTCAAATAGAGCAGAATAATACCATGGTTCAATTGCCATCCATTTTCTTAATTTAATAATAGCAAAGAATGGGGCTCCCTCTGCCCCATACTGTCCTCCTTGTTAGCAGACACTAGAAGAGTAGTTTTTTAAATTATCCAATTAACACTTTTTCCAGGCTTACCTCTCTTCTCTTTGAAGTTCTCATATTGAATAAACATTCATTTGTGTGTTTTCCCATGAATGTGATGTTTATATTATTCTTGATAGGTACATTGAAATCTTTGTATAAAGTATTGGTGGGGAGATTTAGTCTCACACCTTGCATACACTAATTTTGTTTTATTCATTAAAGTCACCATAATTTGGGCCTCCCTGGTGGCACAAGGGGTTAGGTCTCAGCACTGTGAAGCAGTAGCACAAGTTCAGTGCCTGGCCAGGGAACTAACCCACATGCCACAGCAGACCTCTCCTGTCTCTCCCGCTGCTCCCCTCAGCAGTGCATTTCATTCAGTCTGCCTGTTGTGCTCCTTACTCTGTCTCTGGTGAATCCTCTCATCCCCCCTCCCCTCCACGCCTCTGACCTACACCCCAGCTCTTGTGTGCATAAATAAATCTTAAAAAAAAAAAAAGTCATCTTAATTTGAAAAATGCTATAATTAAACTTACTACTTTGAGACCATTATTAATTTACAAAATTTCTGTCAGAAAGAGTATTGGGGCTCAGGATACTGCTGGGAACCCCAGACTGGCTGCAGCTCAGTTTTGGAAGTCACTTTTCAGAGCTCAGGGCTAGTTCACAGTTCTCATAACAGTCCCCAGATCCATATATGCACATTTAAGGCAAAAACTTTTTCTGAAGATACTTTGGTAAATGGACAAGCATTAAATAACAAAAAGTATTGGCTATGTGTTTTCTTAATTTTAGAGATAATGAAATGCTCTGTGTCTGTTGAAACTGTTGGAAACTGGGATATGATATGTAGGGTCTGTCTTAAGCAGTTGGAAGTAATGGCTTTTCTTTCTCCTATTTTTAGACTTGTCAGCATAAACTGCTATCACTAAGAGAAACTATTTATAATATGTATATTTTTAGAGTTATTCTCCTTTTCTAAATTTGGATTTCTAGTTCACTGATTTAACTTTCCTTAAACAAATTGATTACCTGGGAAAAACAAACCCTCATTCATGTGTTATATATTATGTGAAAATGGGTACATTCTTACATAGTTTAGTGTTTGCCAAAGATACAGTTGCTTTAAGAAAGTAGCAAACATTGTATTTTATAGAATTTTCTATAAATGGAATCAAAATCTTTTCACCTAGATGATTGTTTAGTGATTCATTCATGTGTATATGAAGTTCATTCCTTTTAAATACTACCTAGTATTCCATTGTGGGGATCCTGCAATTGTTCATTGACATTTGAATTGTTTGTAAATTTGATTTGTCTAAACATAGGATTTTATTTTTTGGGGACACCCTATTTTCTGGGACACCCTAAGAACTTAATAATCTAGAAATGTTCATACTGTTTGCAGACTGATAACTATTTCTACTGCCGTTCTCCTTATTTTTTCTAAATGATATGAACCAACCAAAGCATTGATTTTACTGGGGCCAAATTAACTTAGATGCTATCTTTACCCTGTGGGAAATGATGATTTTTAAATGAGAGGAGGGAAATGGAAAAAGTCCCCACTCCTGATGGCTAGATCGTGAGTCCATAAAAGTCTACTAATAAAGCAAGC